ATATATATATATCTTACAATTAGATTAAATCCAAACTTTAAATCCCTATGTTAAATAACCAGATGAACCAACGAGCGTTCGGGGAGGAAAACGTAATCACATTTACAGATTTACTAAGCCCGCTAATATTCGCCGGATCTCGCACGACAACATTAGACAACATTAGATATCTTGCGAAGTGTTTCGTTTTCTCGTCTCACACTCTTGCAAATTTTTTTCGATAGAAAAACGTCATCAATGTAACGGTATCTTGTAAGAACAAGAGTTGATTTCAGTGAATGGACACGTACACGTGATGTTTCACGATTCTTCATGTACGACGTGAGTTTCCTTCGTAATTCTCTCGATAATCTTGTACGAGGCTGAGTACTTAAGCTGATCGTAATTTTTTAATAGTAAAAGAGCGTTCGGGAGATGATGAATTCAATCTATAGAATTGTTTCTCTACATCTGTTTTCTTCTTTCTGTCCATAAGTCGATGTGATAAACTTGCCAGGATATTATATATTACAATCTATTGTGTGCGCGTTCGTTTCTTTCGCTCTTGAGCGCGATTACTGATTCGCCGAGTAGGGCTTTGAACCGGCGATTTAATCTATTACGCTTAAAGTAGGGATAGTAATAATAGCAGCAGTATAGTCGTAATAATAGTACAGTCGCTCTGTTTTAAGGGCTCTCAAAATTCTCGACGTCGAACGAGATTGAAGGCGCGGGCCCGTGGGCGTCGGGCGCTCGCTCGGTTGGCTGGCAGTATGTACGTGTTAAATTGCATTTAATTCTAAATACGTAGATCGTTTTCGTAATATTCGAGGCGATTCGATTGACCTTCAACCCTTATGCCGCTCAGTATCTGTGATATATTTATAAAATAAAAAAAATAAAAAAAAAAAATAAAAAACCGCAAGAAGAGATGAAGAGATAAAGTGACGCAGAATCCTGAGATAATGTTACATAAGTAGTGTCTCACTCTTTGAAGAATAATTAATAATATGAATAACAATTAAGCGTATATCATAACTACTGTGACGTGTAATTACAAATTACAATTTCAGTGTAAAGTTTCAATGTGCAACGTAACGTTAACTCGTGCGTTCGTGCTGCTAAAAACGCGCGCTTTAAATTATAAAAATAAAATAAATATTTATAATCTAAAGCGCCTCTCTTGTACGCGCGCTCATTCTACAAAAAATTAAAAAGAAATCTGGTGATGCTTATTCATAGAAGAAATAGGTTCTGCATTCGC